ATACATAGATATTCGTTGATTCTTTAAAAACATTTTTATCAATACCTACATCATACATTTAAGTAAATACAGTAACGCAAAAAACAGATATTGATAAGAAAGTGTACAAAAGAAATCCGTAAGTACGCCTGGCAACATTACCAAAGTCTTGTTTATATGTTGCTAGGATACGCATAAGTATGCGGGCCGCTGTATTTGATTCTTCCTAAAATTCTGCTGGTGGTGTACTCTACCGGCAATTCGGAAATTTAAAACTGCCGGCCTATTTCAGGAGCGGTTTGTGGCGATAGCTATTTTGTCTGTGATGAAACAATATACCTCAGGAAGTTGTGAAAAAGATATTAATGATAATAACTGCAATAATTTGTAAAACGACATTTTATTTTCTACAAACAATAATATACATATTTACAAACTATCCTGATTAGAAGACGAATCTAAATATAAATGAGAAAATGACCAATACTGTCCACAACAAAAAGATGACTATTACGGTTTTAGTCAATTGATGTAACCAGTACAGCCTGAAAAAAATCAAATCACAATTTTTGCCACTTCTTAATCTGACAATGTCTGTGTATTCTCTACGTACAGTGTGTAATGTGCTGTTCATTTCGCATAGTGTTCCAATATATGTATAACCACAGACTATTCCCTTTAAAAGTCGCCACCTTACCTTACTCGAAGCTTCTGTCCTGCTGGGAGCGTCTCTAAGGGGTCCTTCATCAAGTATATCCTCAACCCCAGGGTGTAGTATTCCAAAGATTCCTCCCAGTCGAAATCCTTGACGTCGCAGTAGAAGATCTTCTTGTCCTCGTCGGACATCCTGCCTATAAGTCCTCTCAGATTTCCAGTTTCGAAAGTCCACTCGTTCATTTTGAAATAAAGCAGCATCTTCTCTGCTTTGTAAAGTTTCCGATATATATTTTGCATCCTGCAAGGAAAAAAAGCAATAATAACACACGAAGACAGAAGATGTTGCATTTTTAGCACAATTGAGAAAAACCATTAAGCGTTAGAAATAGAGCATTAATAAATATAATAAAAGGAAGAGGCCCAAGGTTTGACCCTCGGGGTACACCAGATTTCCGAGCTATTGCGAAGCACTTACATCCGAGGTTTCTTTCTGTAGACCAGAACAGCATCGATGATGACGCCAGGGATGGTGTGTAGGAAAAAGTGCATAACACTGTAGACGAAAAGGGACTTAAAGAGCAACCCATCTAAGTACCACATGGTCTTGACGCTGAAATACTTTAAAGCGTACTTCTTGCACGTATACAAGTAGTTGCCCCATGTTACGTCCTAAAGAGACGACAGAGTAAAAATAAAATCCTGTAACGACGTGGAACTCGTAAAAGTAATTTTATATTGCCCATACATATACAGGGTGTCCCGCATAAGAACCGACACAGGACAGGTGCATGTGGGGGTCTTCAAAATATTGTAATTTAACCAAACTTACCGATATACAAAGTTGCACCCCTGAGTTATTAGTCCCCAAAGTGGAGCCCTAAGTTTCGAAAAAAATTTATGTCTCTGCAAAGCTTTACTGCAGAAGAACCAAATTTGGTACATGATTTAGGTTTATTACTGGTCTTCTTTGACTACGATTTAAAGTTAATTGAAGCACTACAAAGTGTTCATTGAGGATGACTCACCCCTAAAATTGTACCGAACTTTTTTTTCATTGACCGAATTGAAAAATAATAATATTAATTCACAGCA